GTAGCCCAGGGGCCTCAGAGTGCCTGTAGCCCAGGGGCCTCTGAGTGCCTGTAGCCCAGGGGCCTCAGAGTGCCTGTAGCCCAGGGGCCTCAGAGTGCCTGTAGCCCAGGGGCCTCAGAGTGCCTGTAGCCCAGGGGCCTCAGAGTGCCTGTAGCCCAGGGGCCTCAGAGTGCCTGTAGCCCAGGGGCCTCAGAGTGCCTGTAGCCCAGGGGCCTCAGAGTGCCTGTAGCCCAGAGGCCTCAGAGTGCCTGTATCCCAGGGGCCTCAGAGTGCCTGTAGCTCAGGGGCCTCAGAGTGCCTGTAGCCCAGGGGCCTCAGAGTGCCTGTAGCCCAGGGGCCTCAGAGTGCCTGTAGCCCAGGGGCCTCAGAGTGCCTGTAGCCCAGGGGCCTCAGAGTGCCTGTAGCCCAGGGGCCTCAGAGTGCCTGTAGCCCAGGGGCCTCAGAGTGCCTGTAGCCCAGAGGCCTCAGAGTGCCTGTATCCCAGGGGCCTCAGAGTGCCTGTAGCTCAGGGGCCTCAGAGTGCCTGTAGCCCAGGGGCCTCAGAGTGCCTGTAGCCCAGGGGCCTCAGAGTGCCTGTAGCCCAGGGGCCTCAGAGTGCCTGTAGCCCAGGGGCCTCAGAGTGCCTGTAGCCCAGGGGCCTCAGAGTGCCTGTAGCCCAGGGGCCTCAGAGTGCCTGTAGCCCAGGGGCCTCAGAGTGCCTGTAGCCCAGGGGCCTCAGAGTGCCTGTAGCCCAGGGGCCTCAGAGTGCCTGTAGCCCAGGGGCCTCAGAGTGCCTGTAGCCCAGGGGCCTCAGAGTGCCTGTAGCCCAGGGGCCTCAGAGTGCCTGTAGCCCAGGGGCCTCAGAGTGCCTGTAGCCCAGGGCCTCAGAGTGCCTGTAGCCCAGGGCCCTCAGAGTGCCTGTAGCCCAGGGGCCTCAGAGTGCCTGTAGCCCAGGGGCCTCAGAGTGCCTGTAGCCCAGGGGCCTCAGAGTGCCTGTAGCCCAGGGGCCTCAGAGTGCCTGTAGCCCAGGGGCCTCAGAGTGCCTGTAGCCCAGGGGCCTCAGAGTGCCTGTAGCCCAGGGGCTCAGAGTCCTGTAGCCCAGGGGCCTCAGAGTGCCTGTAGCCCAGGGGCCTCAGAGTGCCTGTAGCCCAGGGGCCTCAGAGTGCCTGTAGCCCAGGGGCCTCAGAGTGCCTGTAGCCCAGGGGCCTCAGAGTGCCTATAGCCCAGGGGCCTCTGAGTGCCTGTAGCCCAGGGGCCTCAGAGTGCCTGTAGCCCAGGGGCCTCAGAGTGCCTGTAGCCCAGGGGCCTCAGAGTGCCTGTAGCCCAGGGGCCTCAGAGTGCCTGTAGCCCAGGGGCCTCAGAGTGCCTGTAGCCCAGGGGCCTCAGAGTGCCTGTAGCCCAGGGGCCTCAGAGTGCCTGTAGCCCAGGGGCCTCAGAGTGCCTGTAGCCCAGGGGCCTCAGAGTGCCTGTAGCCCAGGGGCCTCAGAGTACCTGTAGCCCAGGGGCCTCTGAGTGCCTGTAGCCCAGGGGCCTCAGAGTGCCTGTAGCCCAGGGGCCTCAGAGTGCCTGTAGCCCAGGGGCCTCAGAGTGCCTGTAGCCCAGGGGCCTCAGAGTGTCTGTAGCCCAGGGGCCTCAGAGTGCCTGTAGCCCAGGGGCCTCTGAGTGCCTGTAGCCCAGGGGCCTCAGTGTGCCTGTTGTCCAGGGGCCTCAGAGTGCCTGTAGCCCAGGGGCCTCAGAGTGCCTGTAGCCCAGGGGCCTCAGAGTGCCTGTAGCCCAGGGCCCTCAGAGTGCCTGTAGCCCAGGGGCCTCAGAGTGCCTGTAGCCCAGGGGTTTCAGAGTGCCTGTAGCCCAGGGGCTTCACAGTGCCTGTAGCCCAGGGGCTTCACAGTGCCTGTAGCCCAGGGGCTTCACAGTGCCTGTAGCCCAGGGGGTTCACAGTGCCTGTAGCCCAGGGACCTCACAGTGCCTGTAGCCCAGGGGCTTCAGAGTGCCTGTAGCCCAGGGACCTCACAGTGCCTGTAGCCCAGGGGCCTCAGAGTGCCTGTAGCCCAGGGACCTCACAGTGCCTGTAGCCCAGGGGCTTCACAGTGCCTGTAGCCCAGGGGCCTCAGAGTGCCTGTAGCCCAGGGACCTCACAGTGCCTGTAGCCCAGGGGCTTCACAGTGCCTGTAGCCCAGGGACCTCACAGTGCCTGTAGCCCAGGGGCTTCACAGTGCCTGTAGCCCAGGGGCTTCACAGTGCCTGTAGCCCAGGGACCTCACAGTGCCTGTAGCCCAGGGGCTTCACAGTGCCTGTAGCCCAGGGACCTCACAGTGCCTGTAGCCCAGAAGCCTAGGCTCTAGTAATGGTTTCTGGTGACCAATAATCCTCTCTGTTATCTATGCAGTGACCTGACTCGCTGGTTATACTGGTGGCCTGACCCACTGGTTATCCTGGTGACCTGACCCGTTGGTTGACCTCACCTTCGCTATAATGCTAGCTGTCATCATCTTCGTGGGTGAGTAATCATCATTTGTCATTATACGGGTCATTATCATTATTATAATCATTCTCATCACTGTCATTATCATCATCATTGGTCTGCTGGAATAACAGAAAGTCATTATTATTATTATTATTATTATTATTATTATTATTATTATTACAGATAGTAGTATAATCAGGAGGAAGCTTTAAACCCGTAAGGAGGGTCACACAGTGGCTGAGGAACGGGAGGTAATCGGCTTTGATCCGAGGAAAGGAGAGGATAGCTCCAATTCCTAAAATCTAGAGCACCAAGGCTGTTCTGGTGGTCACATACTGCCACAGGTGAAGGTAGAGGGGGGGGGGATGGTAGAAAGGCGACGTATCGACCTGTGCTGGTCGAAACATCGTCTGTGTCGTCCTTGGGTAGCATTAAAGACTACAGTCTTGTAGACTACAGTCTTGTAGACTACAGTCTTGAAGACTACAGTCTTGTAGACTACAGCCTTGAAGACTACAGCCTTGAAGACTACAGTCTTGTAGACTACAGCCTTGAAGACTACAGCCTTGAAGACTACAGTCTTGAAGACTACAGCCTTGAAGACTACAGCCTTGAAGACTACAGCCTTGAAGACTACAGCCTTGAAGACTACAGTCTTGAAGACTACAGTCTTGTAGACTACAGCCTTGAAGACTACAGCCTTGAAGACTACAGTCTTGTAGACTACAGTCTTGAAGACTACAGTCTTGAAGACTACAGTCTTGTAGACTACAGCCTTGAAGACTACAGCCTTGAAGACTACAGTCTTGAAGACTACAGCCTTGAAGACTACAGCCTTGAAGACTACAGCCTTGAAGACTACAGTCTTGTAGACTACAGTCTTGAAGACTACAGTCTTGTAGACTACAGCCTTGAAGACTACAGCTTGAGACTACAGTCTTGAAGACTACAGCCTTGAAGACTACAGCCTTGAAGACTACAGCCTTGAAGACTACAGCTTGAAGACTACAGTCTTGAAGACTACAGTCTTGTAGACTACAGCCTTGAAGACTACAGCCCTTTAAGACTACAGCCTTGAAGACTACAGTCTTGTAGACTACAGTCTTGAAGACTACAGTCTTGTAGACTACAGCCTTGAAGACTACAGCCTTGAAGACTACAGTCTTGAAGACTACAGTCTTGAAGACTACAGCCTTGAAGACTACAGTCTTGAAGACTACAGCTTAGACTACAGCCTTGAAGACTACAGCCTTGAAGACTACAGTCTTGAAGACTACAGTCTTGAAGACTACAGCCTTGAAGACTACAGTCTTGAAGACTACAGTCTTGTAGACTACAGCCTTGAAGACTAGTCTTGAAGACTACAGTCTTGTAGACTACAGCCTTGAAGACTACAGTCTTGAAGACTACAGTCTTGAAGACTACAGTCTTGAAGACTACAGTCTTGTAGACTACAGCCTTGAAGACTACAGCCTTGAAGACTACAGTCTTGAAGACTACGTCTTGAAGACTACAGCCTTGAAGACTACAGTCTTGAAGACTACAGTCTTGTAGACTACATGCCTTGAAGACTACAGCTTGAAGACTACAGTCTTGAGACTACAGTCTTGAAGACTACAGCCTTGAAGCTACAGTCTTGAAGACTACAGTCTTGTAGATAAGCCTTGAAGACTACAGTCTTGAAGGACTACAGTCTTGAGACTACAGTCTTGAAAGACTGAGTCTTTGAAGAACTAAGAACATTGAAAGAGTTTGAACACTGCAGCAGGCTGTTGGCCCATCTAGGCAGGCCCTTACAATTCATCCCACTACACATTGTGACCTACCCATTTGTCAATGCTACCCATGAAATAAGTCTGATGTGCAAGCCCATCAATCAACCAGTCCCCTCTGTATAGTCCAACCTAACATCCTTGAGACTACCAAAGTCCTGCCTGCAAGAACCCAGTACTTAGAGTAGACTGTTCACTCATTAAGCTTACCGCTTTCCCAAGACCAATACTTCTATGTCTACAATCTGAAACTTATCTAATTGCTAAATCCATTACTGGGTTCTCTCTTGGAAGATATCCTCAAACCTTGTTATATCCCTTATTAAACTACTCCACTTACACTTCGAAGCTCCCCATTCTTGCTAAACAAGTCGATGTATTAAGGTCTTTCAATCTTTTTTTCAGGTAAGGAAGATCTAATCTGATGTATTGAATTTATCATCCTTGAGCTGAATGTTTTCAACGAATTTATGTCCATTCTGTAATATGGAGACTACAGTCTTGAAGACTACGGTGGTCTTCACCAACTCCAAGACTGAGGGACTGATTACCTCATCTTTTGTATATAAGTCTTCACATTATGTCGTTGTATTGTACTGATAAAGCCACTGGTTGGCGAAGCGTCTATAAATAAAGATACCCAGATGTTGTGTATGTGTCTCATCAATATTTTTGTTAATGGGTTTGAGAAAGACGCCTAGTATGGGCCAGTAGGCCTCCTGCAGTGTTCCTCTTTCTTAGGTTAAGCTAAAATCTTGCAATTTGTGTTGCAGTGTGTGGGTTTGCGCATTGGCCAATGAGCGTGTTGGCCATTCCATCTCACCCACGAGTCCCCGAAGTGCCCAACTCCATGCCCGTAGCTTCCTACAGTGCCCTTCCTGAGAACAGAGATACCCAGGTTAACTATAACGTGAACCTGGTACCCAGACCCGAGTACAACCCCCGGGTCGTGCCCCAGGTAACACCACAGGTCTACAGAACAGTGCCACAGCAAGGCAAAGCGGTCAACTTGGCCGGCCCATCTTCCAGGTCTAATGGCGCCTTCCAGGGGTCGCCGGCGACCCAGAGGGCAGCGGCGGTGATACCCACTGGCAACACCCTGCTGGAAGACGCACAGATTGGCCATGTGCTGCGCACTGCGCCTAAAGGATCTCATTTTCTGAGGTCATCTGTTGACCTCTCCATCCTGGAGTCTCGTCTGCCTAGCAACTACACCAACATTAGGGAAGACATTGTTGACACCTTCTCCTGTGACGGCCGGGTAAGTGAACAACACTTTTGTAGGTAAGTGGTTCAGAGAACCCATAAGTTGATCAATTAGACACAAGTGCAACACCTGGGTATGTGGGTATGTCTGGAAACATTTCGCCAGAGTGGCATCATCAGTCCAATACAAGGAAGAATGATGAACATCAAAAAAACTTCGAAGTGATCAGTCTGTCAGTCTTGATAAGGCTGGTGGGCTGACTACATCAACTCCAGGCTCAGGGACTGATTACCTCAAAGTCCACTGGATTTTCACCATTCTTCTTTGTCCTGGACTGATAAAGCCACTGTGTGGCGAAACATCTACCCAGTAAAGATACCCAGATATTGCACAGTTTCCCTCACCTAGTTGTGTTCAGGTAACTGTACAAGAGGAAATTTCCAGAGAATAATCGTTAGTTATATCATGGACTCTTATGTTACGTAGCTTAATGTAATTTAACGTAACATAGCTTAACGAGCGTTTAGAGTTTACAGCCAATTATATACCTGTAGGTATGCGTGCGCGTGGTGTGTGGGGGTGTGTACTCACCTAATTGTGGTTGCAGGGGTTGAGTCATAGCTCCTGGCTCCGGCGTGTGTGTGTGTGGTGTATTTTCTAGTTAAGAACATAAGAACATAAGAAAGGAGGAACACTGCAGCAGGCCTGTTGGCCCATACTAGGCAGGTCCTTTACAATTCATCCCACTAACAAACATTTGACCTTCCCAATTTTCAATTTGGCTTCCATTAGACCTAGGGCATGTCTATCAGGGCTGCAACACACACATGACCCTGTTGAAAATTAAGTCACATTTGCAACAGTTGGGTATCAAATACAAAGAATATAAGAATGGAGGAACACTACAGAAGGCCTACCGCCCCATACAAGGCAAAGGGAGCAGTAGTAATGGAATAAATATGTGATAACACCATAAGAACATAAGAACATAAGAAAGGAGGAACACTGCAGCAGGCCTAAACATACCCAGTATTATTGCACATGACGGTATCTGTACACATTCCCAAGTGACAGGTGTGTCACGTGCAGGTGTACGGTTATTACGCTGACCAGGAGAACGGCTGCCAGATCTACCATGTGTGTCTGCCCCTACGACAATTCTTCCCGGAGAGCTTCACCACAGACACCACCAAAATATTCAGCTTTATATGTCCATTCTCAACCATATTTGACCAGGTGAGTGGGAGACCCAGGTGAGTGGGGTACCCAGGTGAGTGGGGGACCCAGGTGAGTGGGAGACCCAGGTGAGTGGGAGACCCAGGTGAGTGGGGACCCAGGTGAGTGGGGTACCCAGAGGTGATTGGGGAGACCCAGGTGAGTGGGGGACCCAGGTGAGTGGGGTACCCAGGTGAGTGGGAGACCCAGGTGAGTGGGAGACCCAGGTGAGTGGGGGACCCAGGTGAGTGGGGTACCCAGGTGAGTGGGAGACCCAGGTGAGTGGAGACCCAGGAGAGGGGTACCAGGTGAGTGTGGCGGTACCAGCGATTGGGAGACCCAAGTGAGTGGGAGACCCAGGTGAGTTGGGGTACCAGGTGAGTGGGAGGGACCCAGGTGAGTGGGAGACCCAGGTGAGTGGGGGACCCAGGTGAGTGGGGTACCCAGGTGAGTGGGGACCCAGGTGAGTGGGAGACCCAGGTGAGTGGGAGACCCAGGTGAGTGGGGTACCCAGGTGAGTGGGGGACCCAGGTGAGTGGGGGACCCAGGTGAGTGGGGGACCCAGGTGAGTGGGTACCAGGTGAGTGGGGACCCAGGTGAGTGGGAGGACCCAGGTGAGTGGGAGACCCAGGTGAGTGGGGAACCCAGTGTGAGTGGGGACCCAGGTGAGTGGGGACCCAGGTGAGTGGGAGACCCAGGTGAGTGGGAGACCCAGGTGAGTGGGAGACCCAGGTGAGTGGGGGACCCAGGTGAGTGGGAGACCCAGGTGAGTGGGGGACCCAGGTGAGTGGGAGACCCAGGTGAGTGGGGGACCCAGGTGACCAGTGAGGGGGACCAGGTGAGTGGGGGACCCAGGTGAGTGGGGACCCAGGTGAGTGGGGGACCCAGGTGAGTGGGAGACCAGGTGAGTGGGGGACCCAGGTGAGTGGGAGGGGGACCCAGGTGAGTGGGGGACCAGGTTGAGTGGGGGACCCAGGTGAGTGGGGAGACCCAGGTGAGTGGGGTACCCAGGTGAGTGGGGGACCCAGGTGAGTGGGAGACCCAGGTGAGTGGGGGACCCAGGTGAGTGGGAGACCCAGGTGAGTGGGGGACCCAGGTGAGTGGGGGACCCAGGTGAGTGGGGGACCCAGGTGAGTGAGGGCCCCCAGGTGAGTGGGGAAACCTAGGTGAGTGGGGGACCAGGTGAGTGGGGACCCAGGTGAGTGGGGAGGACCCAGGTGAGTGGGGGACTCAGGTGAGTGGGGGGACCAGGTGAGTGGGGGACCCAGGTGAGTGGGGGACCCAGGTGAGTGGGGGACCCAGGTGAGTGGGGGACCCAGGTGAGTGGGGGACTCAGGTGAGTGGGGGACCCAGGTGAGTGGGGGACCCAGGTGAGTGGGGGACCCAGGTGAGTGGGGGACCCAGGTGAGTGAGGGACCCAGGTGAGTGGGAGACCCAGGTGAGTGGGGGATCCAGGTGAGTGGGGGACCCAGGTGAGTGGGGGACCCAGGTGAGTGGTAGACCCAGGTGAGTGGGAGATCCAGGTGAGTGGAAGACCCAGGTGAGTGGGAGATCCAGGTAGTGGGAGACCCAGGTGAGTGGGGGACCCAGGTGAGTGGGGGACCCATGTGAGTGGGGGACCCATGTGAGTGGGGGACCCAGGTGAGTGGGGGACCCAGGTGAGTGGGGGACCCAGGTGAGTGGAAGACCCAGGTGAGTGGGAGACCCAGGTGAGTGGAAGACCCAGGTGAGTGGGAGACCCAGGTGAGTGGGGACCCATGTGAGTGGGGACCCAGGTGAGTGGAGTAACCTGGTGAGTGGGGCACCCAGGGAGAAAGTGGGACACCCAGGGAAGAAATGGGACACCCAGGGGAGAAATGGGGCACCCAGGGAAGAAATGGGACACCCAGGGAAGAAATGGGATTCCCAGGGAAGAAATGGGACACCCAGGGAAGAAATGGGACACCCAGGGAAGAAATGGGACTCCCAGGGAAGAAATTGAACACCCAGGGAAGAAATGGGACACCCAGAGAAGAAATGAGACACCCAGGGAAAAATGGGATACCCAGGGAAGAAATGGGACTCCCAGGGAAGAAATGGGACACCCAGGGAAGAAATGGGATACCCAGGGAAGAAATGGGGCACCCAGGGAAGAAATGGGATACCCAGGGAAGGAATGGGATACCCAGGGAAGGAATGGGACACCCAGGGAAAAATAGGATACCCAATGTACGTAGATATCTGGTTCAGAGAGTCGACAAGTTGATAAATTAGATACATGTACAACTCTTGGGTATCTTTACTGAGGAAACGTTTCACCACACAGTGGCTACATCAGTCCATACAAAGAAGAATGGTGAAGATCAGAAGGAGTTTGGGGAAATCAGTCCCTCAACCTGGAGAAGAGTTCAGTTCCATAGTCTGGAACGATATCATTCCAGACCATGGAGCTAAACTCTTCCCCACCCTGAGGGACTGATCACCTCAAATACCATTTCTCCAAGGTTGATGGACTGATTACACCATCTTCATTTCACTACTACACCTGCTGTCTCTGTATTTGACTGATGAAGCCTGCTGTGTAGGCGAGACAATTCAACAATAATGATACCCAACTGTTGTTGATGTACAGTAGTTGATGCCTGTTGCCCCATACTAGGCAGGTTCTTTACAATCCATCCCACTAACAAAACATTTGCCCAACCCAATTTTCAATGTCTCAATCATGACCTGTTTGTACCCCACCCACAGTCATCTATGACCTGCGTGGGCGAGGAGGAGGCTATACCCTGTGAGATCGCCGATAATTACTACAACTACAACTACAACTTCTTCACTATGGTCAAGGAAGAAGACGGTAGTGAGCGCTACGCCCAGGTTAACGAGGATATCCCCGTCGACCCCGCCGCCAGCCTTCCCTTCTAGAGGTCATAAACAAGGCCAAATCTTCCATGACAGTTTAAGGAGCGTGCGGAAGTTGTCTTTCTAAGGAAAGACAACTTCCGCACGCATTCTGGGCCCACCTGAGAGGGCATTCTGGGAATAAATGAGAGAGTATTCTGGACATAGCTTAAAGGGCACTCTGGGCATAGATTAAAAGGCATTCTGGGCACATCTGAGAGGGCATTTTGGGCACATCTGAGAGGGCATTCTGGACATAGCTTAAAGGGCATTCTAGACATCGGTAGGTATCGAGCGATACAGTCAAGACTAACTCTGCTGAATTCGCATAAAGATGCAATATACAACTCACTGCTACCACTTGGGCAGTGCTCATGTATCATACATGTTTTCCAGGTGCTAGGGCTGCGTTCTCCAGTATGTTGCAAGCCTCTCGCAGGTTAAGTTAACTGGGTTTAAATCCTATCGACTACACGAGGGTATTATGGATGCTTATCACCTATTTGTAGATGAATGGTTCAGAGAACCGACATGTTGATTAATTAGACACATGTGCAACTCTTGGGTATCTTTATTGAGGAAACGTTTCGCCAATAAAGATACCCAAGAGTTGCACATGTGAACATTAAAATGGTATAAAATACCGACAGGTTGTTAGGTAAGACACATATGCAACAGTTAGGTATCTTTATTTCGAAACGTTTCGCCAATGTAGGCGAAACGTTTCGAAATAAAGATACCTAACTGTTGCATTTGTGTCTTACCTAACAGTTGCACATGTGTCTAATTTATTATCACCTATTCGCTACCAGTCAAGAATACTACAATACTTACCATAGGGATTGAAGAAAGATTGAAGACTCTTAAGTTACATTCACTTGTTAGACGAAGAATGAGGGGAGACCTGATCGAAGTGTATAAGTGGAAGATAGGTATTAATAAAGGGGATATTAACAAGGTCTTGAGGATATCTCTCCAAGAGAGAACCCGCAGTAATGGATTTAAATTAGATAAGTTTAGATTTAGAAAGGACACAGGAAAGTATTGGTTTGGAAATATGGTAGTTGATGAGTGGAACAGTCTACCTAGTTGGGTTATTGAGGCTAGGACTTTGAGTAGTTTCAAATTTAGGTTGGATAAGCACATGAGTGGGAGGGGTTGGATTTGAGTGGGATTGCACATCGGAGCTTGTTTCTTGGGTGGCATTGAAAATTGGGTTGGTCAAATGTTTGTTAGTGGGATGAATTGTAAAGGACTTGCCTAGTATGGGCCAACAGGCCTGCTGCAGTGTTCCTCCTTTCTTATGTTCTTATGTAAGTTAATTCTCAGTAAATACTGGGAGATACACACCTCTCGGGGTATGTATATGTATATCTTTGTGTAAGTGGTGGCATGGTTCATTGTATATAGGTCTCCTGATGGAGATGGGATGGTTTAATTAGTATCCGGGGTACTGAACCAAATTATTGGGTAACTTTGGGAAAAGGGTTGGACAAATACGTAGGTTGGAATGGGTTGTTTTGATAAGGACTTGCCTTGTCTGGGCCAGTAGGCCTCTTGTAGTGTTTCACCATTCTTATGTTTACTAAGATATAGGCTCGTTGATAAATTAGACCATTCATCTACAAATATAGGCTCGTGTTGGCCTGGACTAACATATGCTGAGCGCTTGGATGGTGTGGACAGGGAACCATGTACCATGCACTGCATGGTGCTGGACGTCAACTAGTAGACCACACTCTGCATGGTGCTGGAAGTCAGCTAGCAGACCACACTCTGCATGGTGCTGGAAGCCAACTAGCAGACCACACCCTATATAGTGCTGGAAGTCAACCAGTAGACCACACTCTGCATGGTGCTGGAAGCCAACTAGCAGACCACACTCTGCATGGTGCTGGAAGTCAACCAGGACTCACTATCTGGGAAGACGGACTCTTGATAGTCATGTAGTGATGTGTTAACCATGGAAGTTTGAGCCTGTAAGTCACTTCTGCTGGAAATTTTAGCCATGAGCTCCCTAGCTGTGTAGATCTGAACCCTGGATCCACATTCATCCTGGCAGCCAGTGTTGATGACTTCACCCGAAAACAGGTGGTTAATACACAACCTATCTCCACCTACAATAGGTAGTAAAGGCACCACCTCTCTCTCTCTCCACCTACAACAGGTGAAGACACCACTTATCCCCACCTACAACAGGTGAGAGAGATCACTCCTTGTCCACCTACCACTATCACCAACCTCTCCACCTCCACAACTGTACTTGTAACCAATAAAATACAATACAAACGTAAACAATCCCACACATGTGTTTCTCTGAGTCTATCACCAGGATGTTTGGATAGTATATATGTCGAATCTAAGACTCAGAGAGAGTAAGACTTATTTAAAGACTTTATGACCTGGAAGGAGCCTTGTCTTATACCGACATTGAACCGAGAAAGACACTTTATAAAGGTTAGGGAATCCAGAGGTCAGGTGGCAAGTCAGTGAGAGTTTTGTAGATGGTTTTAATGGCTTGCTTTCTAGACTAGACATACCTATACCCAAATCAAAAAGTCTTACTCCCTCCCTAGGTCTTTAATTCATCTTGTGCTGTCTTCTGCTAAGTTGCACCTGCAAGTCTATGCAATAAGATAATGTCACAATATGCAAACTAACCACTCTGAAAAAAATAGTGAATTTCAAAGTGCTTCCGTGATTTCTCACTTCTCAGTGTATATACACTGAGAGGTGGTTTCCAGGTGTGTCCCTCTCAATGTATATACATTGACAGGTATGTATCTCTCAGTGTATATTTATATATTTAGTCATTATATATATTTCATCTGTTGCAAAGAAATTTAAAATATTTGCTTAACATGACTGGTATTTTATTTTCATTAATAAAATAAAAACTTGACATATCACAGAGGCTATTGTACAGTTTCTCTCTCTATTCCTCAATAAGTGGACAGTTAAACACATAGTGTTCAAGATAGTAACCACAGGGCTGGTCACATACTTTGTATTTAGTCTGATCAGTCAGTCTGTGTGTCTGCCAAACTGTCTTAAGTACTTGTAACAAAGATTAAGCCTGGCCAATACAACATCAGTCAGTCTATGTCTCCCAAACCGTCAGAAGTACTTGTAACCAAGTCTAAGCCTGGCTACTACAATATTAGTCAGTCTGTGTGTCTGCCAAACTGCCAGAAATACTTGTAACCAAGCCTAAGCCTGACCACTACACCATCAGTCAGTGTGTCTCCCAAACTGTCAGTAGTACTTGTAACCAAGTCTAAGCCTGGCTAGTTTATTGTGCACCTCATATCCATCCTGTGGACAGGAGCGTATGAACATATGCCTATGGACTAGGAACTAGGTCTAGCACTAGGAACTAGGCCCAAAGGGTTAGCAAGATCACACAATATTCTGGGCTGGGGTAAAGGAAGGCTTGAGACTCTCACACACACAAAACACTGAACACACACAAGACCGTTCACCCCAAAACCCAACAATACCAGGAATTCTGAGGGTCAAAACGTGAAATTTCCTGAGTTGAGCTGAGACAGTTGTGGGTACCAACGAGGACCATGACTGTAACAGTTGTGGGTATCAACGAGGACCATGACTGAGACAGTTGTGGGTATCAACGAGGACCATGACTGAGACAGTTGTGGGTACCAACGAGAACCATGACTGAGACAGTTGTCGGTATCAACGAGGACCATGACTGAGACAGTTGTGGGTACCAACGAGAACCATGACTGAGACAGTTGTGGGTATCACGAGACCACTGACTGAGACAGTTGTGGTACCAACGAGAAACCATGATGAGACAGTTGTCGGTATCAACGAGGACCATGACTGAGACAGTTGTGGGTACCAACGAGAACCATGACTGAGACAGTTGTGGGTATCAACGAGGACCATGACTGAGACAGTTGTGGGTATCAACGAGGACCATGACTGAGACAGTTGTGGGTATCAACGAGGACCATGACTGAGACAGTTGTGGGTATCAACGAGGACCATGACTGAGACAGTTGTGGGTATCAACGAGGACCATGACTGAGACAGTTGTGGGTATCAACGAGGACCATGACTGTAACAGTTGTGGGTATCAACGAGGACCATGACTGAGACAGTTGTGGGTATCAACGAGGACCATGACTGTAACAGTTGTGGGTATCAATGAGGACCATGACTGTGACAGTTGTGGGTATCAACGAGGACCATGACTGTAACAGTTGTGGGTATCAATGAGGACCATGACTGTGACAGTTGTGGGTATCAACGAGGACCATGACTGTAACAGTTGTGGGTATCAACGAGGACCATGACTGTGACAGTTGTGGGTATCAACGAGGACCATGACTGTGACAGTTGTGGGTATCAACGAGGACCATGACTGTGACAGTTGTGGGTATCAACGAGGACCATGACTGTGACAGTTGTGGGTACCAACACAAGGGACGATAAATGAGAAAGGAATCTGCAAGAAATAACCAGGATGCTGACAGTCAATCTTAGCATGCCGACAGCCGATCCTAGCATGCTGACAGCCGATCCTTACATGCTGACAGCCGATCCTAACATGCTGACAACCGATCCCAACATGCTGACAGCCGATCCTAACATACTGACAGCCGATCCTAGCATGCTGACAGCCATCCCTAACAGGCACTGCTTACCTTAGTGCGTTCTCCAGGATGACAGAAGTAAGACGTCAATGTATCAGGATGATGGACAGTTGGTTAATGCTCCGATGGAGTCTTGGGAGGTTAATTCTCCTCCAACTCTCCCTCCATCCCTCCAACACTTCCTCCTGTCCCTCCAACACTCGCTCATGTCTCTCCAACACTCCCTCCATCCCTCCAACACTCCTTCCACCCCCCAACACTCCCTCCTGTCCCTCCAACACTTCCTCCTGTCTCTCCAACACTCCCTCCATCCCTCCAACACTTGCCTCCCTCCTTCCACGCCGTGACATTGAACAAGACAGTAATGTTAATAAGGAAGTATTGTTGACCTTGACCATGATG